GGTTGTCTGTGGGTGACTGCAAAGGTGTGAACTATCAGTGAGAAATATTGCACTGGAGACTTGTTAAAAATGGCAAGGTGGCTTTTATTTGAGCTACCGTAATAGAGAGAGGCTTCGGTATAGAACTGAGCTCAACTTCTACCCTCATCCCCAAGAGGAAGAGAAAATGGGTGCTCCTCCTGGGGTGGTCCTAAGTGGTTGCAAGGGGAGACTGGAGGGACTGAGGGTGAGTCAGCAAGTGAAGAACCCTCTCCCTTCCCCTCTTTTTACCCCATTTTAAGCCCCAGAGGGAATTATGAACAGTGGCAGGAAAGGATATTAGTTTTGAATATATGTTATCCCTATCTGGTGTGAACCATGGCTTTGCACATTTAAATAAAATCGTGATGTATATATGTTAAGGTAGAAAGACAAAACATTTAACAGCTTGTTAAACTGATTTACAGCTTTTAAATGTTTAGGCATATGGTAGGTGGGACACTCTGTGCTCTTGCCTCAGGCCCTGCACTGTTAGGAAGGGGACTGCAAGGTTATTGACCGGCCTACAGCACAGGCTCGGTAAGGGGGCCTGAGAAATGTCCAGGCCCAGGGGCAACATGGACAGATGCCTAATTGCCATGTATAATTGAGAGAGGGCTATACCATGTATAATTGAGAGAGGGCTTTCTGACACAGAATTGATTAAGGGGCAGGTAAAAGGACTCATGAAGAGGGGTGATTGGAAAGAGGGAAGGACATCGGTCTAGAAGTTAGCATGGGAGTGTTTGAGTCGAGCAGCCTGCCAAAGTCTCTCTGAATGGGTTAGATCCAGGCCAGATCCTCAGGGGCGCATGTGTGGCACTAACCTCTGGTGCTCCTGGTTAGAGTTTAGCCTGAGGTAACAGGAGCCCTTCCCAGTTACCAACACCATTCTTTCACTTTTTTTTTTTTAAATCCTCACCTGAGGATATTTTTTCCATTGCTTTTCAGAGAGAGTGGAAGGAACAGAGGGAGAGAAAGAGAGAGAGAAAGAAAGAAACGATGATGTGAGAGAGACACACCGATTGGTTGCCTCCTGCATGTGCCCTGACCCGGCTGGGGATTGAGCCTGCAATGGAGGTCCATGCCCTCGGCCAAAACCAAACCCCGGACCCTTCAGTCCAAGGGCGGATGCTCTAACCATTGAGCCAAACTGGCTAGGGCCATTCTTTCACATTTTCAGTTAACCCTCTGACCTTAGAGAAAATAAATGACCTGATGGGGTTATGAGGGAAAGTCAAGAAAATTAATCTGAAATGGCTTTAAAAGGAGCAATGAACTAACTGTGCAAATACTATATAATAATATATGAAGCAGCTCCTGGGCTTAAATGTTTTTCCTCAAAAGTTTTAGTTCCCTCTGTTGGGAGTATTTTTTGTGGTACCACATTTTATGGGACACCAAGGCATGCTGTTTTCCTAAGTGGACTGGGTTTAAGCTGGGTGATATTTTTGTGGGTGTCCTTGGGAGAGCCAGGGTAGGGTATTCAACAGCATTAACGCTGCAGCGGGGCCAGTGACCTCTCTGGTCATTAGCTGTTAGCCAGTCTGGAAATTCCGGGCCCCACCAGGGGTTTTTAGCTCCAGATAAATGACTCAAACTTTGTTAGTCCAGTGGGCTAATAACACGTGTTGCTCTCTGTTTTCACCAGGTTGTCTGGGAATCACAAAAGAAGAGCAGATAGCCCTGTGAAAAAAAGGATCAGAGAAACACGTGTCATAAAGTATTGCTGCCCTTCCACTTACCTGCTGTTTCAGATTCAGTCTCTGTAGTCAGCAATCTGGCATCATTTGCCGGCATTAATTTTATTCCATTTGTAGTCCAAGTTGCAGTTTCCTTTGCAATGCATTTTAGTGCTTAATATCTATTTGTCAGCTGTTATTTAAAGGAACAAACAAATTTGTCAGGATTCAGTAAACACAAAGTAACTCAGAGAAAAGAGAGTTTGAATCTGAATTTGTTAAATGTAAGCTCTAATGAAGAGGGCTAGTTAAACCAATCATACACGTTAGGTTGCTTTTTAAAATTTTTAATTTATTTACCGTGTTAGTTGGTTTTCATTTATTTAAAGACCCGAGTTCCAACTCTTATTATAGTGGGCATTTCTGGCATAAGAGCGAGTTAAATAACTCACTTGTTTCCTGAGCCGCATCCGATACCTTTTAGGAATTGCTCAATATCGACACTCATATTCTAGGCCATGATATCCTCAGTGAAGTGTTGTAGGTCTGTTAGGGATCTCATCTCAGTATTCTTGAGTGTTTACCGTCCGAAACTCTAGGTTTAGGGGAGCAACTCACTGGGAAAAATGACTTAAAAAAAATCTCCCCCGGAGAATTTTAGTTTGTAATAATATAGAAAACCTATTTTACTGTGCATATATGTGTGTGTTTGTGTGTTGTGTATCTTAGAGAAGTAACCAGGGAAGCAAATAATGGGAAATGTTTCTGCAAAGTTAGGTCCCTTTAACTTTTCCTCTCTATTGAAGAAGCATTCCCTGACTATTAAAGATATAAAGCCACTCCTACAAATTTAATAAAATTCAGATGGATGGATGAGAGCCTCACGCTTCATTTTTAAGAAGCCGGGTTATTTTTTAGTACATGAATATAAATCAAAGTTTCTTGCTTAGATTCTGCAGGCTTTTTTGCTACTGCAGATTACATACGGGAGGGACTCAGTGCTCTTCTCCCCATCCTCCCAACATCAGGGTTTCAGTAGCAGCTTGGCTAAAGGTATAATGAGCTTGTAAGCCCTCCTCTCCTAGTTATAATGAATGAAAGGCTCATTCTAACTGGTGCCTGTTTCAAGTTTGGTTCCTATTAACCACCCAGCCTGAGTGGATCTAAATAGTGGCCATGGAAAGGTCTAGACACAGCCATTTGTAGTTTCTCCTGTACTTTACTGATGTAGACAAGCAGAGATGAAACTCAGGCCCTCTCCATGATCTGAAGCACTGGAGGCAGGCTTCGTGTGTTTCTGTTTCTGTGCTCTGCATTTCGGATCTTTCCTGTGGCACACCCAGGGTGAGCCAGGTGAAGAAATCAGCCACGTGCCACATAACTATTAGCAACAGACAGCCGCTCGTGTCTGAGTCACTCACTCAAGACATCAGTATCTGATCCCCTAGTTAATTCCAGGCCACTTTTGTTTTACTCAGATCCCCTCCAGCCTCTAATCTTATAGTTAGATCCTTACCTCTGACTTGCGTGGATTGGACGGTAGTTCTTCCTCCCCTGGGCGGATGGTCTTGATTCCGTGTTGTTCCATCGGTGGAAACTCTGTGTTCTAACTCCGGTTTTATGGGTTCTAGTTCCTGTCATTGACCATGTGACCAGCCTAGAACCTGTATGAGCAGCAGCCACTTCAATGCAATAAATTGCCTAAAATTCTCTTCTCTTCCATGTCCTTGTGTTTCTCTCTTACCCTTTGCTGACCATCCACCTCTGTGTGCCATTAAATCTCAGGTGTGTGGATGAATATTCTTGTTGATGCTAATGGTCAAATACAGCAAATGCCAAGCAAACCAATATATAACTATTTTTAGCTGTTAGTCTTTCATTTATGATCATTGAGAATAAAAGCCAGTTATGAAGACAGTAGTACTTCCTTCAGCAGTTTCTATGTGCTCAGTATAAGTCTTCCAACATAATCTTATTTGATCTTCACTTGTTTAAAAGCTTTTTTTGATTAATTGATTTCTCATTGATGTACTGTTGGCATCAAAGAGTATATATTTCTTCGACAGTGTGCATTGGTATTAAATAGTTAATTTTTATGAATTCTCCTGTATAATATGTTCTGTTGCACTAGAAGCATTTATTTGGTGCTTTTCTTCCCAGTGGGTGCTGGAAGATGGGTTCACCCCCCTTTCCTTGCATTTAAAAAATGCAAATCAAGGGCCGCAAAATCATCAATGCCAGGGACACTTTAGAAATTCTGTATCATATATTGGGATAGTATCTTAATTCTTTTTTCTCAGTTATAGGAGTAAATTCTTCCTGATTGGGTCTCCACCCATGCAGTCAGGAAACAATTGCTTTCTACATCCATCACTTCTGTCTGCACGTGATCCTGTTTCAGAGGCTCCCCAATTAATCCCGTGGAAGCTAGAATCACTCATAATTATAATCCTGTTATGCCTTCTTTATTTTTTGATGTGCTTGTTAATTCATGTCCATCCTGCAGTGGTCTGTAACATAGTGCTGTTATCAGCTCTTTCGTCTTTAAAAGCCTCTTGTCTACCATTTTGACTAAGATTGATTAACTGCACTTTGTTGAAATCGATCATTTGGATTAAAAAATCTATCCTGTATATTTGTTCTGGCTACTTTTGCACGATTCCACCTTTTTTCAGTTAATCAATCTGCCATGCTGATTGCTTTTCCCCTTTTGGCTTCCTTTCTCTGACTCTTTCTTTTTTAAGAACTGTCTATCTCTTTATTTCTTATGTCCTCTCTTAGGCAGTGGAATGAATTCTCCTTTAGATCTCGGCTAGACACTGCTCCCATTTCCCTTTTCATTACACGAGAAAGAGGGTCCTCTCCTTAGTGATTTTCTCCTGGAGCAGTTTCCGGGGTGAAAGCATTGTGACCCAGGCCAGGCACTTTGCAGACACTGTAACATGCTTTTTATTTACAGCCTCAGACTCCTCTGTATTCTTCTTCTTCTTCTTTTTTTTTAAATCCTCACTTGAGGATATTTTTTCCATTGCTTTTCAGAGAAAGTGGAGGGGGTCGGGAGAGAGAGAGGCATCGATGTGAAAGAGACACGTGGATTTGTTGCCTCGCACATGCACCTTGAACCTGCAACCAAGATGTGTGCCCTTGCCTGGAATTGAACCCGAGACCCTTCAGTCCACGGGCTGATGCTGTAACCATTGAGCCAAACCAGCCAGGATTCCTCTCTATTCTAATCTTACCAGGTGGGCTCAAACTTCAACACCAACGTTTTTTTTGACACACTCTTTCCTTTCCTTCTAGGTACTGACTTTAACATAGATAGCTTACCTCTGCCTCGGAAAGCCCATCACGACTGGGCCCTTTTTCATGAAGAGTCGCCGAAGAACAATTATAAGCTCTTTCACAAGCCAGTCATCACTTTGTTCAACTACACTGCCACGTTCAGCCGGCATTCCCACCTGCCACTAACCACCCAGTACCTGGAGGGCATAGAAGTCCTGAAGTCACACCGATACCTGGTCCCTTTGCGGTCCAAAAACAACCTTCGAAAAAGACTTGCTCCGCTGGTGTATGTCCAGTCAGACTGTGACCCGCCGTCAGATAGGGACAGCTATGTTCGGGAGCTGATGACTTACATTGAGGTCGATTCCTACGGGGAGTGTTTACACAACAGAGATCTCCCTCAGCCGCTGAAAACTCCAGCCTCCATGGATGCCGACGGCTTCTACAGGATCGTGGCACAGTACAAGTTCATCCTTGCTTTTGAGAACGCGGTGTGTGATGACTACATCACCGAGAAGTTCTGGAGACCTCTGAAACTGGGGGTGGTCCCTGTGTATTATGGGTCCCCCAGCATCACGGACTGGCTTCCCAGTAACAGAAGTGCCATCCTCGTATCCGACTTTTCCCACCCTAGAGAACTGGCGCGTTATATCAGGCGGCTGGACGATGATGACAGGCGTTACGAGGCCTACGTAGAATGGAAGCTGAAGGGTGAGATCTCGAACCCGCGACTCCTCGCAGCTCTCAGGGAACGGACATGGGGAGTGCAGGACGTCAGCCAGGACAACTACATCGATGCCTTTGAGTGCATGGTGTGCAGCAAGGTGTGGGATAACATGAGGCTTCAGGAAAAGGTAAGCGAGTCAGGGTTTGCAAAGCGATGCTAGAGCGGCCCCCTCGACGGTGTCTGCCGTTCTGCACCCTTCTGTGGCCGCCGCGTGGTTACTGCTGCTCGGGCCGGCTCTGCAGCAGCTTGCCTCTTACTGTTCTCTGAGGATTGCCATGAAGTTCACTATCGTGATCTTCCCGAAGGCCGTAGATGCTCCTTGATTGTTTCTTCCGGAGGACGCCGTGCTGCAGGTGCTGGGCACTGAGACAGGAGACTGCAGGAGGAGGGAAGAAGGCCAAAAAATTAAAAAAAAAATCAAGGTTTTGAATCTCAGCCTTTCACCTTTCATCTTTCTGTCAATGCTCTGGTTTCTGCCGGGCCCCTGACACCTGCGCCCCACACGCTGTTCTGAAACTTTTCCGTTCACACACACAATCGATTAAGCTCTCTCTTTGGTTCCTGCCCTTTCTCCTCATGCTTTTTAATGTATAGAGAATATTCAAAGAATGATGGGAATCATCCTTAAAAGACTTCTTTTTCTTAAATTATTATAAATAAAGTTCTTAGTCATGTCTTCGTAGTTCTAGATGTTTTTAACATTTGTTTATTGGCTTGCTTTACTCAGTTATACCAGGAATGGCCCCACTTTATATATAACTGAATTTTTTATAAGGTAATTTATTGAAAGAAAAAGAAAGATTAGTTTCAACTACCTTTGAAATTTTTAAAAAAATGAGAGATCCCAACATAACACTTGGCTGTCACCCATCAGTCCCTTGCCTGACTCCCGTATACACATAATGTTTTATATAAACTCTCCAAAGGGAAACCAGTTTTGTTAAATATTTAAATATTCATTTTGGCTAACATTAATTTCAGAAATTATTTTTATGTATTGTATGTATACTATATAAGGCTTTTATATATTAAATATGTATGTATTTAGACAAATTTAAAATATTTGAAACATTATTTTCCTAATTTTAATTATTATGAAATTTCAAATGATTTTATCTGGTTTTATATAACAATTTTTGACTCATAAAATAATTTATTGAGTGGCTTGGTCAGCAACAGGAACACTTAATATTACATCATTTTCCTCAGAGAATGCATCCTGATTTCTAGTGACTTCCTTCATGACCTAATTTATAGGGCCATGTAACAGCAAAAACCAAAATACACATACTACTGCAAAAACACAGGAGAAAGTAGAGAGCATATTCATTGCCCATGCTATACCAGTTATTTATTTTCAAAATGTGTCAAGGCAGAAACAGAACTTCTGAGGGTGGTGGTTTGCCTGCTCTGTATTTCAGTCCTTTCCAGGTTTGGAAATTGTACTCACAGAAAATGGAAAAGACCACACAAACCCTAACTCCTCAGCACCTCACAGAAGCCCCTTTGGAATGATTACTAGGGACTGGAAAAGAGGGAATAACAACAGCATTGGTAAATAGCTCTTTAAAAGATACAGGAGAATACATACATGCCTGCATTTCCAACAGAAACAGCTAACTGATCTTTCGGAGTGCCCGAGGGTGGTGTAAAATGGGGTACTAGCATCTAGTTAATTTGTTTGCCATAAGAATTAAATGAGACAATCTGTGTAAAGTGCTTAGCAAAGTGTCTAGTGCATAGGATATTCTCAATAAATGTTAGATATTTTCCGTCTTCTTCAACTACTCAGCCGTATAACTACCGAGACCCCATGGAGTGAAGATACTTGCTTTAAGGATAGTACGTGCAGGGTTCTGCTTTTGCGAAGCAAGAACGTGGGAGTTGGCTTCCTTATCATATGTTTTTAATTCTTGTCTCCCCTTCCCTCAATTCAGGGCTTAACACCCAAAAGGTGGAAGGCAGATGTCACGCACCTGAGCTGCCCGGCGCCCACGGTGTTTGCTTTCTCGCCGGGGGCCCCTCGCCAGCGCTCCCCGCGAGAGATGTGGGTCCCCAGCTTCCAGCAGTCCAAGAAAGAAGCCCGGGCGCTGCGGTGGCTGGTCGACAGGAATCGAAACTTCTCGGCTCAGGAGTTTTGGGGCCTAGTATTCAAGGACTAATTTCAAAAGGTGTCGGAAAGATATAGATGGCAGAGTTCTTGAGGCTTATTTCCTAGGTTGCCTTACTATTTGAATATCATAGTTACTGTGTGGACTATCCTTGGGGTAAGAGTTGCTGCAGAACTCACAATGAGTTCCATGAAGAGTAGATATGAACCACCCTCAGGGGTCACCTCTATATTTTTTATACTAAAAAGGTCAATACAGTAGCCCCCCCTTATCTGTAGTTTCGCTTTCCATGGTTTCAGTTACCTGCGGTCAACCACAGTCTGAAAATGTTAAGTGGAAAATCCAGAAAGAAACAGTTTGTAGGTTTCAGATCCTGGGAGTCCGAGCGGCTGAGGAAGTCTCGCGGGCCCGGCTCAGCCCCGCGGGCCGGGGCCGCCCCTTCCCGGCTTCTCCGGCTGCAGGCGCGCTCTGCGAGCCCCAGGTACCAGGTGGGTGTCTCATGCTGGCATTTAAGTCACCCTTATTTTAGTTACTAATGTCCCCAGAGTGCAGGAGTAGTGGTGCTGGCAATCGGGACATGCCACCGAGAAGCCATAAAGGGCTGCCTTGCAGTGAAAAGCCAAAAGCTCTCAACTTCAGGCATTTTATCATCTCACATCATACGAAGGGTGAGTACAGTGCAATAAGATATTTTGAGAGAGAGAGAGACCACATTCACATAACTTTTATTACAGTATAGTGTTATAATTGTCCTATTTTTATCATTACTTACTGTTGTTAATCTCTTACTGTGCCTAATTTATAAATTAAACTTTATCACAGGTGTGTTTGTATAGGAAAAAACAGTATATATAAGGTTTGCTACTATCTGCAGTTTCAGGCATCCACTGGGAGGTCTTGGATCGTTTGCCCCGTGGATAAGGGGGGCCTAGTGTATTTCTCAGGGACACTGATCACCTTCAGTGTACATGTTTGGAGCCATGTACCCGCTGCCTCTTGTGGAAGTTCCCCTAATGCCGAGTGAATGCTTTCCTCCCTGAAAGGGAGGCAGAGGGTGTAGCTTTGGATTCCTGGTGCCTCTCTAATAGTGCAGTTTATTGGTGTTTGGCAAGCCCAGTGGCCTGATGCCGAGCATGAACATGAAATGCATGAGAACTTGACAATGAGAGATTCCATCTGTTGGTTTACAGGGATGTAAGTGAGTAATAAAAGCTGTGTGAAGTTTATCCATCTACTCTTCAAGTAGAAAGAACATGGGCATGTCTCTACCTTCTCCATATTCGCCGTCACCTCTGTAACCTTTCTAATTTTCATTTTGCCCTGCATCTTTCTTGCGTTCCCCACCCTCCCTCCCCCGAAAGTGG